GGTGGCGGACGTTGGCTAGGAGGACAGCGCTCACTAGACCACAAACACATTGAAGCAGGCTCCTCCAAGTTTGGCATCAACACCATCAGGGCCGGGGGAGAAAGAGGCACCAAAATACACCTGGGCCACATGTAAAAAAAGCCCACTATCTGACTATGCAATTAAGCTGAGTTGGATTGTTGGCATAGAAAAAATTACCATTTGATACCCACTATTAATTTTAGAGACGAAATATAAAACAATACAACATAAAACATACTTGTATGGTTTAGTTGCAACAAAAAGAAGCTAGGTGGTCAGCATACAACAAAAACAATATTCAAGTGGCACATGATGCATTTAACCCTCGATCCGGGCATCCGGCTACAAATCCCGTAAATTTTGAAAAATTTGCAACTCGCAAATTGTTTAGCCCGTTCGCCGGTCGAGTAAACTGGGTAGAAAGTTAATAGTCGATTCGTTTTTACTTGATTTAGTTATGATCCACCAAAAATCATTATAGTGTTCATATATTTAAAATTATATAAACTTTTATCTAATATATGGGTAATAACATATAATATTACATCAAAATAAAGTTTGTAATCGGATCTAACATATATTAATAATTCAATCGCACTCATGTAACATCAATATTCAAATACTCAACTTGGAATTCCAAAGATAGGATTAGCCGAAAAAATACGCATTTCGCAAACCAAAGGGATAAACAATGTTGTCTAACCTCCAACCATGGAACCTTGTCACGGGTTGACCCGCGAGGATTGAAGCCCATTTTTCTCATTGATTTCAAATAAAATCGAGTTAACCATTGGGTTGACTACTTGATAATTCGTAAATTTCCCATTTCATCTTAAAATGATTAAAAGACTTTGTATTTTGACCCAACGCCACCTAATCCAAACTCAAAGTAGAAAGTATCCACGCCACCCACTCTCTTTTCCCTTCTTCAACCCCTTCTCCTCTGTGGGTCTTCCCTCAACTCCTCAAATGTCTTGATAATTCAATCCCCAACTTCTTTTGGCGAGGAACTTGCTTTTCAACCGACTTCTCGGGTAGTTGAACTTCCTTTCCACTTCGAAGAGTAATGGCATGAGTCTCTTCTTGTGGGAGTGGATTTGTGTGATTTAAAGATGCAACACTCAGCTTTGCCATAAAAATTTGATCAATTTTTTCAACTTGCGCACTCATATTTTCAAGAGAATCTTTTGGAAGTTGTTAAATTTTCTCAATTGCTTTAACATGTTGATTGGTGCTATAAAAAAACTTGTCCAGGAACTCTAACCTCATTCTACATGTTGGCACAAACTGGCCAATGATCACTTCCATCCTCTCCATTCTAAAGCTCAACTCTTGGTGGATTGAAGATGAAGAAGCTTCAATGACTTATTGTTGATATATAGACTTGTTTGTTGAAGAGAACTTGCTCTATAATGCTTGGTCTATATATTGTTGTTGATATATATTGAAGGTTCTCACTATATAGACTTGCCCTATAACGCTTGGTTGAGACATCACTCCATTCCTTTTGTTGTGACTATTCAACTTTTCAATCTGATTTGTTAGAGACTCAATATGCTTCATGAGGAAAGTAAGGTGAGTTGTTTGTGATGAGCATTTATCCATTCATAGAAGTCTTGCTTTGTCTTCCATCTTCCCAATCTCGCTAACTCAAAGCTTCTTCTTCAAAGAGATCACAAGCTTGATCCAGAGCTTGGTTTCTATATGTTCCTCGTCCGATTGTGCCAATGGGTTCTCTATATTCACCCCTAAACCCATTTCATAAAAAACTCCATTGAAGCCAATCTTGAAAACCATTGTTAGGACATTTGAGGAGAAGGGTTTTGTACCTCTCTCAAGCCTCATGTAAAGGCTCTTCGTCTCCTTGGAAAATTTCAAGATTTTTCCTCTTAGTTGAGATGATTTTGAAGAAGGGAGAGGTAGCTGTTGATGAATTTCTCATAAAAGTCCTTCTAAGAGAAGACGGAGAGGGATGGATGGTTGGAAAGTCACTTCTTAGCTATCATATTCAATGAGAATGAGAACACCCTTGGCCGAATAGCTTCTTGATGAATCTCAACCATCTTGATTCCATTGGTGAAGTTGAGGAACTCTTATACATGAGTGTGGGGGTCCTCGTCCTTCAAATCATGAAATTGAATGCTTGATTGAATCATGGTCATTACGCTCAGCTTTATAGCAAAAATGAGGCCCTTCATATGTTTGATCGATATTGGATATCCTCAAATATTGGTCACCCATTCTATTCACATGTGTTATAAGTATAACTACACACACTTAGCAAACACTCGTGAATGAAAAAATGGGTATTAAACACAAACAAACAACAAAGATAAAGTGCAAGAAAGTAAATAGTTAAACTAGTAACTACACCCTTTTCACAAATAACCTAATTATTTCATGACTGTGGCCCTAAAAACTTGATGTGTCTCAATAGAAAAAGGTTATAAAACTTGTCATTCAGACTATTCTACTTCACTCAACCAAGATAAGTGTACCTCGATCGAGTGGCGTAGTATATGGTTGACCTTTAAGGTCGTATTCCCATGGGCATCGATTCTATTGCTACATTGAAGCTTTGCTGCTATCTAAACGATTGATTAGTTGACGAGTTACACAAAATAATATGAAGGGAACTAAATTTCCATTAAAGACTAACTCGAGAGAGAAATGAGGAACTTGGGATTCATACCACCGAACCCTAACGTGCAATCGAATGGATGTAATTCTATTCATTTCCCCCAATCCTTATGATGCAAGAATCTTCTAGGTTACCATCTAAGTCAATGATCATGCACTTATACGCACATCCTAGGTGACTGCTTGGTTCAATGGCCATGCAACCAACTAATCCATAGAGCATTGAGCTTAGATTTCAAATTGTGAACAAGTCCAAAGAAAAATGGAACTTTAGTTCAATGATCATCAATTAAAATTTCATATTAATTGATGTGGGTTCTAGTCTTGACCTAATATATGTTCACTAATTTATGTCATAATAGGAAATTAGGTTCATACATAGTCTTTCATTCCTAAATAATCATCAACATGAGTTAGGGTTCAACTTACTTGTGTACTAAGCGGTTTTAGCCCATTGATGAAAGAGAAGAATAAATTGAGTGAGGGGGAGGAGGATTCATCTTGGGAGGCTCTTCAATTTTCAAATCCTCCTTCTATTCTTCAAGAATCTTTTGTACAATAGTTGAAATCTTCATGCTTTACTGCTCCTTCAACCCGCTCTCACTCTAGGTTTAAGGAGACCCTTACTCTCTTTATTTGGTGTTCAAAATACTCAACCAGTTCACATGTCAAAGATCATGACCTAAGGTTTGGATGAGTTCACGACCGTGATCTTCGTCGATTCCTGTGAACTTTCATTGCTCACTGCATGGGTCACGATCGTGAGCAGGTTCATTGGCAGATTTCATCTGAGTTCACAGTCATGACAATTCTCACGGCTGTGACTTGTTGCCGTGGTCTGTCCCTTTATGAACATGAGGCTAGTCGTGAGACCTCCTGATCTCATCGTCGCTGACTCACTGTGTTCACGGACCAAAAATCAATTTCAAAGCCGTAAACATTGGTCGTGAACTTGGCCACTTTTGGGTCTGGTAGTGACCTGACCCTAGGTCTGGTAGTGACCTGACCCTAGGTCTTCTTTTCAACCTTTGAACTTCTAATTGTCACGAAACTTGGTACACTCCTTTCTTATCATGCTTGAAACTAAGATTAGAAAAGAAAAAATAACCTAACCTAAAATAGAATAAGAATGAACAAGGTACGAGCCAAATATGACATTCAAACTCCTAATGACCAAAGTACGATGATTATGACATTCAAACTCCTAATGAATGGGGACCTAGTCCTAGAATATGCATAAAATGCGAGTCACCAACAGACTAAACTTAAGCATCGTCCTTTTGCATATAGTACCAACAAGTAGCAAGTATACTACATCATACGTAATAAATCAAAAGCCCAATAAACATTGGATCCAACATTTCCAATCCAACAATCAAGTATTCCATACAATTAGGGGATGTTTGCTTGTTAGATTTGGGTCATGAATTTGGTACCCAAATTCCAAGGTTGATGAATTTAACACAAGTCCATTATTTGTCGATGGGTGCTAAATCCGCGGGGTCCACGAATTTGGTCTTTATTTTGGAACCAAATCCGTGGACCCCACGGACTTGTAAATCCCACATATTGGTTTGGGATTTGTAAATCCTTGATGCTTAGTTATTTATGTAACAAATTCATCACAAATCTACCATGCAAACACTAGACTTTTCAAATCTATAATCCAATAAATCCATCATAAAACCCAAGGTATTTGTTGCCCAAACCACTCATTTTTCAAATCCAACAAGCAAACAACCCCTTAGTTGTGCTATCTTAATGAACAGTAATCGTGATTTACCTTAATATATATATATATATATATATATATTAAAATTCAAACAATTGTCCCTTCTAGCATGAGGTTAGAGGTTGGCAACTGGAACTGTTTTCTAGGACAATTGCTTGCCTAAAAAAATCCATGTAATAAAACAATTAGTCATTATTCCTCATGGTTGATTGTACTCTATGAACAATCATTTTTATATTTTACACGATCACCTTGACAAGGAGGATCACTGTTGTTGGAAGGTGATGCTTTAACAAAGGGGGGGGGGGGAAATACTCTGATGTGTTTTACATTATGCCAAAAACATGCTCGAAAACAGAGAACTTCATAGAGTGCAATATTACAAATGACCTAAAACTTCTTTTCCATATCCTAATCACTCAAATAATAAAGACAATAGGCAGATCAAAATTTGTACACCAACAGAAACAAAGTAATCTCCTACACATACAGCACTCAAAACATAACCGATTAGACACAACTAGAAATCTATATATGTGACTATATCTAACTGAAGTTCATATTTTCCCCCAAATCAGGAATCCCTGAGAGTCTGATCTCTTCTGTTTCACGGACTGTAGAAAGAAGGGCCGCATTTGCATTTCCAACTCTCAGGCTCATAATTAGCATAGCTCAATCTCAGGCCATGGATGTGGCTTCTGCTGGTTGTGGGCACTTCAATTGCTTCACATGGTGAGCACCCATAGCACTTGTGCTCACAGCTTGGAGGGCTTGATCCTATTTTCCCAAACCTTTTGAGTAATAAGCATACGGTTTTGCCAGGTAAACAAGAAATTACCTAATTTAAGCTCGAAGGGGTTCTGTATTCTGCTCCCAGGAAAGCCTGTGATGGTTGTTGATTAGTCACTGGTGAAGAAAACAATCAAAGGATGAGAGGATTGAAGGAAGTTTTTTTGGCCAGTGATTTACATGAAGCAGAAGAAAACAATAGCCGTGAAATGAGATAACTTGCTTACCTGGTTGATTAGCTGCAAGAGGCCTACTTGTGGAACATACCAAGTTCATTTGCAGAGCTAATACAAGAAGAAGAACAGAGCAAGCAATGATGGTTTTGGGATTCATGGTGGGTTTTAAGTAGAAAGAGAGGCAATCACCTACCCTCTTGACTAATGATGATGATTTCTGGACTGGAAATGATGGCCAACTTTGTGAAAGACTTTTAAAAGGAGATAGAGACAGAAGTGAAGGAAAAAAGGCAGCTGATTCTTAATGAATCTCTCATACTACAACTACTACTGTGCATGATTGCTTTGAAAGCTCTCTCTCCACATATATATATATACAGAAAGGCATAAACTTTGAAACTAGGTTAAAAGAACAGTATTTTCCCAAAAGGAAAAACCCTTCAAAGAGCTCCCAAGAGATTTCTTGGGATTCTCCTAGTTTTCCTTCTAGGAGTAGCAGAGAGAAAGAGAGAGAGAGAGAGAGAGAGATTCAGATATTGCTTCTGAGACAAATGAAGTGATCTTTGGTTTCTTGTCTTCTTCACCTGACAACTCACCAGAAGGACCGACCTTGTTGTGTAGTAGAATCAAAAGGATATATAAATCTTTTCGCAATACTCTTTTCGTTGCTTAACCTTTGAAAAGAAGCCATCACTCTATTTCAGCTTAAAAATCCTTCTAGGGGTGTACTCCTATAGGCAGCACAGATGGTCCCATTCGGCACCCAAAATAACAACTCCCTATTTTAGGGGTACTAAAGAAAATACCTGCAAATGGCACACCACAAATCTTTCTTAGAAGATAACACAAAGAAAACAAATAAATAAAAGAGGTTCCTTTTTAATCTTTTAACACAGTCTAGACTGCAGAGCCACCACCTCTTTTCCCCTCTATTAATAGTTTCATTCCCATGAATGGGAAAAAAAGGTTTTGGGGATAAAGGGAAATCCAGTTGTAGTGACACATTTTTTCATATGTAATAAACAAAAATAAGAAAACAAAAAAGCCAATCAATGTCTGAGAACAATGCAGTACTACTACTGTCAGAACAAAAATTTAATTAGTTTGTTAATTGAAATAAATAGCCATGTACCAAAGGTCAACACCTTCCCACAAAGGTTGGTGGGTGGGAAACACTCTGGGTAGTAATTCTTTGATCTTCATCATATCAATCATCCAATCTGAACCATCCGTTTAAACCCACAAAAGGAAAATAAGATAAGAATATACATTTTTGCAACTTCATTGCTTTGGCTTCTTCTTCCCCATTCATCTTTCACTCTCTCCCTTTCCTTTCTCCTTCATTGCCCTTACATTGGTACATCTGTAACAGATGTGCACACCACAGACAGACACACACAAACTCTGACATTTACAATGAATAAAAGATTCCACTGACATAATAACATGATTACCAAATGGCCATCTAATATAGCAAATCATGCAATAAAAGATTTGTCATGTTTTTGTTGGGTTCTGTTGTGGGAAAATGGCAAGTAAATGAATGCACACCAGAAAGGTAGCAGAAAGCCATAAAGAACAAAGCTTCACTTGTTCTCGTCTCACCATTTTTTCATTGATTGGTCTTTTCCTGGATCTGCTGCTGAGATACAAAGTGGCTGATTTGGTAATGATTCTGTGAGACTGAAAGCTCCAGAAAATCAGCCATGATATAACTGGAACTGGATCATCAAGAATAGAAGTGAATTAAATACAAGACAAAAGGTTTAACATATGAGTGTTTAACGTTAAAACTGTTAAAACTGCACTCGAGAAAAAGAAGAAGGTAACTATTGCTGTGTAACACGTCCAGAAGTGTTGCTGCTATACATTGATATTTGTGTTGTCTTGATTAGAATGATTTGATCATTCATTCTGATGCAACCGTACAGTCCCAATTACAGGGACCCTATTCTTCTCACCTACAAAAGAAATTTCTTCTTACAAGCATTTTGTCTTGTGCCCATGCTTCCCATCAAAACTACCATTTGTCCAGACAAAAGAAAAACAACAAAAGACCATGGACCAGAATTGATCTACTTTGAACTTGGCCAAAAGAGATTGATATGGAAAAGAAATGAAAAAAGGACCCTAAACTATAGTCAGCACCTTTCACATCTTCATGACACCATATATTGCAACAGTAAATGCACTACACCTTTCTTACCTGACTACTGCCCACAGCCTACAAACCTATGCTATGCTGCAATTTCATCAGCTATGATTTCTTTGTGAATCAAGCAAGCAAACTTTGGAGTTTGGACGAAAGCACACAGAAAAAGAAATAGTAAAACAAAGTCTTATTCCCAAACTCCAGCCTCCAGTCAAAATGAGGACATAAATGCTTTATAACTTCCTCCCACAATATGCACTCTTCAGTGCACTCCTCCTTTGTAACTAATTAATAATAGTACTGCTCCATTATTGCTGCATTTCTTTATGACTTTGCCCTTTGTATGTATTGAATCGAAATGAAGTTCCCTTATATGATAACTGCTTGGAGACTCATCAGTTGTCAATTTTTGTGCCTGTGACGCCTGTCATATCAATTACTATTAAGCCTTCTTTCTGTTTTCTGGAAAGATGAAAATTTATTACACAGCTAATAAACAGTTCCACAAAATGAATCATATCTACAGTACAGGTCATGGGATGAAAATGCAACATGATGATCAAAAGACGGCGTCACAGCTATGGGGCAAGCATTGAACACAAGATCAACATATGCCCTGAGATCTGACGAAATGAATTTGATGAAAAACTGAGCAATTATTTTTATAATTTGGATGAAGAACTAATAGCAAACATCCATATAGAAATAGAGCATTGGTATCACAAGAAAGAAGAGCAATTACTACAATGGTGAATCATCATATTACAATCCATTCAGCAGATGTTTTCAAATGACAATGGTCATCGTTGAATGCACATTCTGATCAATCTCTCACCCTATACCCAAAGGATGATAACACAACCAAATATTTGTCAAACCTTCCAACTTCCATACTATTATGTGGAAGATGACTTGTGATGATCCTTCTCCTTCTTCGGATGAATTGTTTCGACGAGGGCCTCGATCTCCTCCTTTGCCCGCTGAAACACCCCTGGCCCTTTTACTTCATCGGCCGATGTGAACTCATCAATGTCATCGCTCGTTCCATGAGTTTCCTTAGTGTGTTTTGGGGAGTGGTTTCCTGCCTTGTCCTTCTTGTGAGCTTCCTTGGTGTGGGTTGGGGAGTGGTCTCCTGCCTTGTCCTTCTTGTGATGAATCGTCTCGACGAGGGCCTCAATTTCTTCCTTGGCCCTCTGAAATACTCCTGGCCCTCTCACTTCATCAATGGAGGTCTTCTCATCAATGTCATCGCTCGTTCCATGAGTTTCCTTGGTGTGAGTTGGGGAGTGGTTTCCTGCCTTTTCCTTCTTGTGATGAATTGTCTCGACGAGGGCCTCGATTTCTTCCTTGGCCCTCTGAAACACTCCTGGCCCTCTCACTTCATCAATGTCTGTCTTCTCATCAATGTCATCGCTTGTTCCATGCGTTTCCTTGGTATGCTTTGGGGAGTGGATTACCTTGTCAATCTTTTCCTTAGCCTTCTCAATGAAGTTTGGATGCTTACCTTCTTCAATTCAAAAACTAATCAAATAAGTCAAATCCCATATGTCCAGATTGAAATTGCAGAAGCAGATTGAATCAAGATTCAGCAGTGCGTAATAACTGAAGCATAAAGGACCCCCATAAGCGTACGATCAGAATCATAATTGATGGCGATATAGAATATTTGTGAAAATGACTCACAACCCAGTTAAATACATCAGCAAAAGATAGGAATGATGTAGTACCAGTTGCAGAATGTGATTTGGTAGGCGTCGTTTCCGCCATTTGGAGGAGAACTCCTCTGTTGTTCTGGTAAACGCTTTAGTATGATGGTTGTGGTGGCTGGAGTTCTCTTAATCCGATTCGACGGCGGCCAATCACTTGAGTTTCGATGGGAGGAAAATGGCTGGCTGGTGGGATGTAGGCGATCAGGGGCGGAGCCAGGATTTGATGATCGGGGGGCCGGAGCTATATAACGTATAAATTAAAAAAAAACAAACAAAAAATTATTATAAGAAAAATTAATAATTTATTTTCTATTATTACAATGACACAAGGAAAACTATGAGCAAAAAATTAATCATGCATATTACCGTCTAGTATGTTTCTCTGTATTTTTATAACTGAAAAATGAATGTTCACAAGTATTATTGTTTGAAAAGAATGAAATAACCAATATATAAATAAAATATTTATTAGAAATAATAATTCAGATGAAATTACTTGATCAATTTTGAAGTCACGTGACTTATAAACACAAATTAAGAAAGTTATATGATTAAATGCAATGATAAATATATAACTAAGAGATTCTTTAAAAATAAGGATTTAAAAGTTGAAGAAGTTACTTGAACTACTTTCAAAGCACTTGACATGTAATTACAAACTATGAAAATAATTGCCTTCGGTTACATCACATTAAGCTGTTCCTCAAGGCTCGAACCCAGGTTAATTAGAGAAACATGCAGTGTCATTTTCGCTAGACTGCCTTTAGATCCATGTTCTATAGTTGTACGCGACATATATTTATTAAACAACCTTCATTTTATACGTAATTTACCCTAAGTTCGATAAATTTTGTACGTGATTTCAAAATTCTTGGGGGGGCCCGAAAGCCCACCTAGCTCCGCCCCTGGAGGCGATCGAATTCCAGGCGATTTCTCGTTTTGTTATTCTTCTGTTGGGAAGCTGCTTATTCAGGGGAGGGAATATTCGGAAGGGAGAAGAGAAGGGGATGAAAGAAAGGAAAGAAGAAAGGAGAGTTCGGGCCTGGAAATTGGGCGTTTGTGGATGAAAAGGCCACATTCACATGTCCAATACGGGAGTGACTAACTAGAAGCCCCAGGATATGCCCATTTGGGGAAGTCCATTACGACAAGGAGAAGAAGACAAAACAGATAAGGTTTTTTTTTTGTTTTTGATAAAACAAAACAGATAAAGCTGTTGTAGAGAGTAGTATTTGCATTTCAGCAGAGGGGCTGCCGGCTCACCTCCTGGTGACCGGCGGCAACCCATTCTCTCATTTTTCTTGCATGACTTCCTTTTATCTTCTAGCTTATGCTTTCTCCAACTCCCTTTGTGGAATATTTCCATCAATCTCTCGTTATTGAGATGGTTGCCTTCATTCTCTAATTTGTTTCACAGATCTAGAGTGCTTTTGCCTTGGTGTCAAAGGGGGGCGGGGTTTCATGAACTTTGCCTGTCTTCTCGTCTTCATCCCTTTCGTCGTGATGATCCGGAGATGCAGCGACCTTCCTTCGTGAATCGGTTCGGGGCGTAGTTTGTGGATCTTGAAGACGAAGACTCCTCTCTGGTTCCTACATCTTCCGTCTGTTGCTTTGAAGTTTGTTCTCTTGCCCATGTAAGTGGTGTTCGACTGATTGCGATGGCCTAGCGAAGAGGTTTCAGAGTAGCTTTCTCTTGCTTTGTTGTTCTGGATGCTACCTTTCCCACTTCCATCTAGGATGGAGGGCTCTTGTTGCTCCGTACAGCCATCTTCTGCATCCGAGCGGTTGTTCGTGGAGACTCCAGCGGCGGTGCAGTTTCCAAAGTTTGGTTGCATTTTATGTTAGAGTTTTTTTGGGTGCTAGCCTTCTGTTGGTCGAGCCCTTGGTGTCGTTGGGATTTTGTAAGTTCTGTCTCACTTTGTTTGGGTTTGCCGGGTGGGCTTCCATAATCTACATCTACACGATAAATAAAAACCAAATGAGAAAACTTGAAGTCTCATTTCAAATTTCCTGCATCCAAAGCGAAAGTAGAAATAACATTTTGGTCTTCACAATTACTTTTTTTTATTCATTAAAAAGACACTTTTTTGTAATCTCAGTGACCAACCATGCAATTAACCTCAATGAATTCATTTACCATTTTATTTATCATTTTGCGAACGCAGTTGAAGTAACCAACATTTGCCTAAAAAGACAGAAAACAAAGAATTCAATATAGTAATATGTCATAATTTCAAAAGAGACGATCCATTTCTAATTCCAATATATATCCGTTACCGTTACATTTATCAATTCAAGATTTCAAATTTCAAATTCTGTATTGTCATCCCTCTCTCTCTCTCTCCCTCTCTTTCTTCCTCGCTCCACCAGCAAACCGTCCTCGTTTACTTAGCCCTCGTCCTTTTTTGTCTTGATCTCCTACAAGCACATACACGCCACCCTGCTTCTCTCTCTCTCTCTTCCCCCCAAAAGCTATCTCTGCTCGCTCCTCTACGCTTTGACTACCAATTCATCAGGAACCCAATCCATTTCCAGGCAATGGGTGCTTCAGGGAAATGGCTCAAATCGCTGATTCCTCTCAAAAAGATCCCTTCTTCCGCCGCCGACCTCGTAAGCTCTAGCTCCGGAAAACAGAGCAATCTCTTAACTTTAATTTTTGAAACGAAATGGAGCACTAATTCTTCGTTTTCTTCCGTTGCTTTTTTTTTTTTTGGTTATCTTCAGGAGAAGCGAGGAGGAGATGGGAAGGGAGGAGGGAAGAAGAAATGGAAGCTGTGGAGAAGCTCATCCGAAGGGTTTAATCATCCCTCGTCATCTGCTTCCTCTGCTTGTTCTTCTTCTTCTCCGTCCGTCGAGGGTTTCAAAAGGGTGGTTCAATCCGATGAGTACAACAACTTTACTTCCTTTTCAAACGACGACTCTTTCACCGTCGCCATGGCCACCGTTGCCAGAGCTCCGGCCAAGGACTTCATTGCGGTCAAGAAAGAATGGGCTGCCATCCGGATCCAAACCGCCTTCCGAGGCTTGCTGGTAAACTCAAAATGTTTTCAGTATTTAGTGCAAAGTTCAGAACTTTGATACTGTTTAGGTGGTCCTTGAGAGTTTAGGGCCTGTTAGGGTTATGTTGAAGTCCTTAACTGGATTTGCATGTTGCAAATTCCGAAATCTCTCCCATCAAGTTACTATTTCAGTACAATATGTAGACTTTGGTGTGATTTCACCTAAACCTTCCAACAGAATTTGACTAACTTGGTTGCATGTTGAGACTTTAGGGCTCTAGTGGAGTATTGGGTTTCCAAAGCAGTGAAATTATTATGTTCTGGACTATCAAGTTGAAGTCTTTACTGGTTTTTGTTAGACAACAGTAGGAAAGTGTTCCTAAAAATTCTACTGCTCTCAAAGTTAACATGAATTGTGCTGTTATCCACCTTATATATGTGTGATTTGATTGTTATCTTTTAGGCAAGGAGGGCATTGAGGGCTTTAAGAGCAGTGGTTAGAATTCAAGCCATATTCCGCGGCAGGCAGGTTCGAAAGCAAGCTGCAGTGACACTAAGGTGTATGCAAGCTCTAGTTCGAGTTCAGGCTCGAGTTAGGGCAACAACTGTGGGAATGCCAGAAGGGCAAGCTGTCCAGCAGATGCTGGATGCTTATAGAAACCATGCTGATCCCACTAAGCAAGCTGAGGTAATTAATCAAGACCATAGATTTTGATTTACCAAACCGAAACAAATGCTCTTGGATCAATTGTCCCCTTCACATTGATATCTTGTTTGTTCCCGAATATTTGCAGAAAGGTTGGTGTAACAGTCCTGGAACAGTTGATCAAGTCAGAACAAAGTTGCAAATGAGGCTAGAAGGAGCTCTCAAGAGAGAAAGAGCTATTGCATATGCCCTATCCCAACAGGTAGAACATATCAATCAATTGGAAGGATATCATGGTAGTCGAAATCTCTTCTCTGGAGTTGATGATGAAACCTATGCTAAATTCGAATAGTGTACTTCAATAAGTATAAATCTAGCTGTGGTTCGAGTTTACTATTTTGAATTTACATAGGTTTTATACTTCATGCAAAATCTTAGATTGTCATATTTACCAAGTTGGAAAGCTTGTAGCTATCTCGTACTTTCTGCTTTTACATAACTCGTCGATTTAAAAGTTTGTTATAAGTTTTTGCTCCATATATGGTTGTTGGGTTGAATGTTTCAATCTTTTCGATGTTAGTTGCAGGCAGTGAAAACATGTCCAAGCCCGGGTAGGAAGACCGGCAGCAATTCTAAGCAGCAGCCAATCGTCCCCCCCAAGCATCATCAAAAGGGGGATGAATACAACCCACTCGGATGGACCTGGCTCGACCGTTGGATGGCAGCAAAGCCATGGGAGGGCAGGTTGATGGAGGAAAGCAGCAGCCACAGCCATGCGAGAGCTGATTCACTAGAGGTCTCTCCTACGCAACCACCACAACCACAACAACCTCTCTTGTCAAGAAAAAGTGCTGACAACATGTACACATCATCAACTTGCTCCTCAAAGCTCAAGCACCATGAGCCTCCTCCTTCCTTGTCGGTAAAGGTGAGGAAGAACAATATGAGCACTCGAGTCTCAGCCAAACCAACACCTCCCATGGTGGTTCATCATCATAATCATGGTACTAATGGCTCATCTTCAACCCTGAGTTCTGAGACACTCTACGAGGAAACCAGCTTCCTGTCAACAAATTCATCTACATCTGTTGATCAAGAACAGCAGAGTTGTAGCGAGAAGCAGCAGCAGCCGCCGAGCTACATGAGCCTCACGGAATCAACCAAGGCGAAACAACTGAAGGCGGCTACTTGGAGTAGGCATTGTAGCAATGCTGCTCTTCAGAGGAACCAGTTGATCGAGGAGGAGGAAGAGGATGATGATGAGTTATACTGCATGAGATCAATGCCACTGTCCAGAGATCTTTACCCTCCCATTCCACAGGGCAAGAAGACATTAGTATGAGATTCGATTCTGTTCAAAGTCAAGGAATTAAGGATGAAGAAGCTGCTTGTTGGTCTGCACTCTGCTGCATGCTAAGTCAAAAGTAGAATGAGTTCAACTTCTTGTTGCGCATGGAAAGGGAAACACTTGTGTTTGAGTAATGTTGGTTCTGAAATGGCTGAAAAAAGTGTGAAAAAAATCATTAAATCACTTGTGGGATGGGACAATTATCTAATTTGGTTCTGTATTGTAATGATGTTTTGTGTCTAGTAATGTTATTAGTGAGCTAGTATAATTGTTGCTTACTTCCGTGTGACTAATTCTTGATTAAGCACTAAGCAAGCATTCAGCACCACAATCTTTAAATATTTGTCACTACTCACTACATGGGCCGGATCAGGGCTAGATGGTTAGATGTCCTAATCTATGTAATGGGCATCGTATGGAAGCCTCTTGGAATAGATGGATAAAAAGCCCGTCCGACAGCATTGGGCTGCACTTTTAGATTGTTTGTTTTGTCGACGATTAGCTGTGATTGTGGTGGGAATCAGAATCTTGAAGCATATACTTCCCAACTTCCAGTAACTAACATAGATTAACTAAAGAGAAGTTGCAAGAATCCGATCATTTGATTGAAAGTACTTTCATCTTATTATTATGAAGTCTCTGTTCCACAAATGGCTCGAGTCTAAATGTCTTAAGGAAGGTTATTAATTGGTGAATGCAATTGATTCAAGTCAAACAATAATAATATAAAAAATGATAGGGGTACAAAATCCAAAACCTCAAAGCCGATAAAATCTTGTATCTTATCATCTACGGTACAAATTATACGGTCCTAAATTATACGGTCCTGATAGGATCATATCATGTGGTGGCATGATTTGTATCATGGATGGTAAAGACAAAGATTTTGCAGTCCCTGAGTTTTGTATTGTCACCCATACCTAATAATACGTCCCTAATAATAGCAAAATTTATTATCTAATTCTTGTGAATTGAGTATGCTAGGGTGGGTCTCCTAGGGAGGAAAATAAGTACTTGGTAATGGTTGACCGAGAGGATTTGTTTTCGAATCATGATGACCTGATATAAATCACTTGCCAAGTCTATATTAGTTGACTTTTTTAGGGGCGTGTTAGCAAATAGTCTATGATCCATTATTGAACCTCTCCCAACAGCTCAAGTTATTGATACTAAACAATTGTTAACAAAGAACACACTATTTGAAAGCGAGTGACTAACTAAATCATGAATAATAATTTGGTACACAAAGAGTAACATTCTTGAATCTTGATAGTAAACAAACTCATCCGAGCTACACCCTAACACTACTAATGATATGGTTTCTAGCTAGTCCATGAGGTAGCTAGGAAACATGATGAATGATTATATAGAGAGTGTACAAAGCCAGATATTAACATTGAAACATGCTAAGACCAATTAAGTCATGATTATTGTGGTCAGTAATAATAATACGTGAAAACCCATCACCCCCTGGCCCAATTAAGCCATCCTTTTCAATATGGTCCCAATATTCATGATTTTGGTATTATTGGACCACTTTGCAAAGAAAGATAACTATATCTCACCCATCACCCCTTCTTTCATCATCCAATGTTTATGCATGTTTCTAATCAGCTTAATCATTTCATGCCTCGCTAAGCAAGATTATTATTATTATTGTTGTTAGAAAGAAAAAGTACGTACTAAAAGATAATTACTACCCAAGAAGTTATTTTAAGAAGAAATCAACATGCATACTTTCAACATTGACCTTGTAGGTAGGGGGTGTGTAACATTTCGGTTCGTACCGGACCAAATTGGCGCTTGAACCTGATCGCACTGAATCGAGTATAATATGGTTCGGTCCTTAGAACCCCCGAAATTTGTAAATATTGAAGAAAAATTGACTGACCAAAGTAGACAGACAGAACGCACAGTTGGTTCGCTTCTTGGTCCATAGAAGTATCTTAATCTTAAATCGCGACTCTCCTGAATTTGGTATGGTCCGGACCGAACCATTGCACACTACTAAGTATTATTTTCAACGATAAGCACGTACATTGAGATACGAATCAAACAACCACAACGAGACCTTTCAGTTTTATGCCACCTGATGACCGAAACAAGCTAATGGACAAGCCGGGAATTCTATTCCTAGGGGAGACGAACGAGATTACTACGGAGGGCCTCGTGAATGAGGCCTCCACATGTGTTATTCAACCTGCAATCCATTGTTAATGATGAACATATTTACGTGGAATTGTAGGGGTGCGGGGAGCAAACGCTTCCTCAGAGTGTTCAAAGAGTATAAAAGGAGATATCGTCCGAGTATTGCGATTATTGTTGAACCACGGATTAGTGGTAATAAAGCGCTGCAGTTGGTGGGGAGTATGGGCTTTGATAAATTTCTCATTGTGGATGCTGTAGGGTTCTCGGGAGGCATTTGGCTGGCTTGGGACTCGGGTATGGTATCTATTTCGGAAGTGGACAAATCGTCTCAGGTGTTGCATGTACAAGTGACGACGGGGGAAGGTAATTGGTTTCTTTCGGCTATATATGCAAATCCGGCCTTGGTCTAGCGACGCGAGCTCTGGCATTGGATTAGGGAGCTGGCTGAGTCGGTAGCTGACCCGTGGCTATTAGTTGGAGATTTTAACTCCATTCTACACCAGTCGGATAAGTCAGGTGGGGCTACCTTTGATGCTAGTCGAGCGAGGGAGTTTCAGGACTGCGTTTTGGATGCGGGTTTAGTCGATCTTGGTTTCTATGGACCGACGTTCACCTGGTTCAAGAGGGGTGTGAAGGAACGGTTGGACCGAGGACTGGCTAATTCGGCCTGGAGGGATAAATTCCCGGAGGCGACAGTGAGACATTTGCCGAGGATGAAGAGTGATCATAGGCCGATTCTTGTCATTCTGCGGCCTACCTTCCAGCCTGGTGGTCCGAAGCCTTTTAAATTTTTGGCAGCATGGCTAGTTCATGAGGGCTTTAATGAAATGACTAGTCAGGCTTGGGCGAAAGGGGTGGATTTTCTATCGTCGGTGGCGGAATTTGTTGAGGAGGCAAAGAAGTGGAATGCGGATACTTTTGGTAATATTTTCAAGAGGAAGAATGAATTGCTTACTAGGATTGAGAGGTTGGAGACTCGGTTTGGTGGGGACGCGGAGCATGAGCCCCTGCGCCTAGCAAGACAGGAACTAGAAGAGGTGCTATTACAAGAAGAACTTTTGTGGTGTCAAAAGGCCCGTTTGGAGTGGGTAGTCTCAGGAGACAGGAACACGAGGTTTTTCCATTCCAGAACCATGAATCGGCGCAGGAGGAACAGGATAACGGCGTTAAAGAATGGCGCGGGAGAGTGGGTGGATGATCAAGGTCAGCTCCTTGTCCTAGCAAGGGACTTCTTCTCGGGTCTGTACACTGATGATGGGGCTCCCGCCAGCTTCCTGGTACGAGCCTTTCAGGAGGTGCCGCTTAGCCTATGGAGCCCGCTCGACAGGGAATTTACGCCAGAGAAAATTCACCAAGCTGTTAAACTTATGGGCGCTCTGAAGGCACCGGGCAAGGATGGTTTGAATCATCTCTTTTATCAACGTTGCTGGGACTTTGCTGGATCTGCAGTGGTGGAATTTGTGAAGTCTTGCTGGCAGGTCCCGTCGCGTGTCAAAGAGGTGAATGACACCATTGTGGCTCTTATCCCGAAAGTCCAATGTCCCTCCCATATCGAGCAATTCAGACCGATTAGCCTCTGCAATGTGGCTTATAAAGTGATAACGAAGTGTTTAGCTGAGCGGCTTAAGCCTCTGATGCCGAGTTTGGTACACGCCACTCAGACGAGTTTCGTCCCGGGCAGGCACATAACTGACAATATTTGTATTTTGCAGGAAGTAGTACACTCGATGCAGGCGAAGAAGGGGGAGGAGGGGTGGATGGTTCTCAAAATCGATCTGGCTAAAGCCTACGACAGAATAAAGTGGAGCTTCGTACGAGATACGTTAGAAGCTGTTGGGGCCCCAGTGAAGTTCGCGGACCTGACCATGAGCTGCATCTCATCGGCCAGGATGCAAATTCAGTGGAATGGGGGCCTTACCGAAGCTTTCTCGCCTTCGCGTGGACTACGGCAGGGATGCCCTCTTTCCCCATATATTTTCACGCTGTGCATGGAGAGGTTGGGGCACCTGATTGATGCTGCTGTGGGTGCTGGAGAGTGGAAGCCTATCTGCTTGTCCAAGCATGGGCCGAAGCTGTCACATTTATTCTTTGCTGACGATCTGATTCTGTTCAGTGTAGCTTCAATGCAACAGGTGCAGGTTATTCTGAGATGTTTAGAGGAGTTTGGGATGGCTTCCGGACAGTCGGTAAGCAAACCGAAATCGAGGGTGTTCTTCTCGAAGAATGTCTCAGGCGTGGAAGGCACTTTGCTCAGCGATGCCCTTGACATTCCACTGACCAGTAACCTAGGCCGCTATTTGGGTGTCCCACTGATTCATGGCAGAGTATCGAAGGCTACATACACCATTCTCATAGACCGAATTGATGCCAGGCTTGGAGGGTGGAAGGCGAACTCGTTGTCATTGGCAGGGCGGATTACGTTGGCTCAGTCAGTCCTCTTATCTCTTCCAGCCTACACGATGCAGACTGCTCTATTGCCGGCATCGGTCAGGGAGTACATAGATAAGAAGATTAGATGTTTCATTTGGGGGAGTTCTGAGCAGGGGAGAAAAGTACATCTGGTGGACTGGGATTCGATTTGTAAACCCAAAGACGAGGGGGGTTTGGGACTGAGAACTGCGACGAAGATGAATGAGGCGTTTATGCTAAAAATTGCGTGGAGACTGTTCACTGAGCCAGAAAGCTTATGGGCACAGGTGGTTCGGGGGAAGTATCTAAAAGAGGTTGATGGAGCACTGCAACCCAGGAGAATCGGTCGGCTGTCGAACTTATGGAGGGGAGTGCTCAGAGTGCTGGAGTACTTGCCGGAGGGCATGATGTGGAACGTGAGAAGTGGCATGCAGACTCGGTTCTGGCAGGACAAGTGGCTCGAAGATGGGCCGCCATTAGAGGACTTTGCGGTTGAGCTCCCGGCTGCAGTGAGGGAGTTGAGGGTCGCGGAACTCGTTCTAAATGGTGATTGGAACTGGCCGTTCATTCAAGCCTTCCTCCCGGAGGCTCTGGTTCTTCAGCTACGGCTTCACCCGGTGCCGCAAGGAATTGAGAAGGATGTCCCTATTTGGCGGTTCTCGGAGTCGGGGAAATTCACGATTCGGTCAGCCTATGATCTACTCAGAGACAGTGAAGAGGAACAAGTCCGCCAACCTGCATGGAAAGCCATTTGGAAGCTCCAAGCTCCCCAACGCACGCGTACCTTTCTCTGGTTATTATTGCATGGTAAGCTCCTCACTAATGGAGAGCGGTGTAGGCGCCATCTAGCGACGTTGAACGAATGTCCGGTCTGTGGGGGAGGCCCGGAAACTGTGGTTCACGCAATTCGGGACTGCTCTTATGCTCGAGCGGTCTGGTCGGAGCTGTTGGAAGGCGAGGCGGACCGAGTGTTCTTCCAGGAGGACGTTTCTAAGTGGCTTTTGCACTACATTTCGGGTAAGAGCTCTAACATCTCCCCGATGCTGTTCACCATCACTTGCTGGCAAATTTGGAAGAGCAGAAACATGTGGGTGTTCGAGAAGAAGATGACATGGCCGGAACAGTTAGTTCGGCGAGCTAGGCTATTCAGCGAGAAGTGCGAGGCGGGATTTGAAAAAAGGAATAGTGTGGTGGAAGGTGGCAGGAGTGTAGAGCAGCAGTGGATCAGCTGGCAGCGCCCCCCTACAGGCTGGGTTGGCCTTAATACGGATGGGTCAGTGGTGTTAGCGCAAGGGAGATCGGCGGCAGGCGGTGTGATCCGGGACAGCGAAGGTCGTTTTCTGGTGGAATACTCGACCAATCTAGGGGGAGGCTCTATTACAAATGCCGAGTTGGCAGGGATAGCTCAAGGGTTGCAGCTTTCTTGGGAGCGTGGATATCGGAAGGTAGCAGTGCAGACGGACTCATCGACGGCAATCTCGCTCATCCATTCTGCAGAGGCTGCTCATCCTCATTACACTCTAGTTGCTTATATCCGCCGGCTTATGGAGCGGGAGTGGGAGGTCTCCCTGAGCCATGTGTTCCGTGAATCTAATTTTGTGGCTGACCATTTAGCGTCGGTGGGTCATTCGTTGTCGATAGGAACCCACGTGGTGGACTATCCTGGAGCTGAGTTGCGATACTGGTTGTATTTTGATACTCTTGGGGTCCAGACCCCGCGTTTCATAACTATTTAAGGGTTTGAGCGCCCCTCTGCGCTCTGTTTCCTACCAAAAAAAAAAAAAAAGATATACCACACTGCAGGTGAAAATGATCTTTTTTTCTCTTGATAAGCTCTACTTGTTGCAATTACTCGAGACCTAGATTGAAATGTCCTGTGAATTATGAACAAGCTGGATGCAATTCAGGGAAGGAAGGGCCTTGTTTCCATTCGACACAAAACGTCGAATGTGTCAAAAATAGCTATATATAGTCAAATTAATTACTGGTTAACTAAATTCGAGATTAATTTTTGATTACACCCAAGAGTTAGATTTACTAAAACGAAAAATCCATAATAATAAGATGCGATGTCAACATAGCAGAGATGCATAACAATAGTGATCAAGGTAAAAGTGAAAGTTACATCAAAGCTAACAATTTTAACACATCCACAATAAAGGAATTGGCAAAAGGAAATTGAATAAGAGGAAGGATTGATGGGGTACAAAACCAGAGATGAATTAATACTATCTCACTTGATCATATTGTCTCGATTTTAGGGGGAAATACCCAATTATTTGAGTAACTAAGTATAATTTTCTAGTGTTATGACACGAGACAATTCTGTTAAGTATCTCATTTGATAAAAATGAGGAAACCCAAATCATTCGTCTCATTCCAAACAATTGGATTCCACTCAAAATGGATCAATTTGAAATTCACCATATCCAATTCATCTGCCCAAAATTTCTGTTAACAAACGAGTTTATTCGGTAAAATATATCAAAACGAAACATCTAAATCAACTTGATCTGTTACGATTCCTCGTTCAAACGATGTGTCGTTGCTTTTTCAATTGTGAAACAAAAAGGTGAAGATTGAGTTGTGATTGGAATGCTTGTAACGGAAGAAAAGAGTATAATGCATATATTGATATTGCTAGGGACCATGAACAAGATTCTTTGGTTTTAAATCGTTGCATGCATGTGCAAACATTTAATGCAGCACCAGAATTCTTTTGCTTCATTTGTTGAGATATCAAAGGACATATACTTTGTTTCTGTTCCTTGGCTTTCCCCAAACTATCACAATGCGTGTGTATATATAAGAAACAAAAGCTCCATTGCCAGACATGGGCTAGCTTAGTCTTTGCTCTCTGGCCTCTTGGCTTTTTGGTATGGGTCATTTTCAGTCTACAAAATTTTGTAAGGTTTTCTTTCTGTACCTTCACTCCAGATTTTGAAAAATTCTCAGTCCCACTGAGTAATTTTCTAACGGAACGTAAGGCATGAATAATTTTTTGTATCAAACGAGAAGAATAACTCACGGTTAAAATCAAAATATCAGTCGTAATTATAGAGTTGAAAATGAATATATGTCATTGTGAAACTTTGCCGCTTCTATCTACAGTAGGTATTTGATTTCCATTGAACACGTACATGAATGACTTGAAAGTTCGTATATATATAGCTAGCTAAAATAAGTAAATTAGTCGTTTTAGTAATAGTGGATATTATTAGTTATTACTTATTACCATACAAGTCAAAATCTTAAGAACCTAGGAGAAATCGAACCACGCATGAATATGTTAGGTTAGGTAAAACCACCCTATTAATGTATATATGTTGCTATTCGAGGTTGTTATTTGAGTACTTCAAGTATACCATATTTAAAAGGAACAAGAGAGTTAAATTGAGAAAGAAACTTAAACCCTAGTTTGCTAATGATTCTTTATTTCTCAAATTGATAAGAGAAGAACCCGAATCACTAATTGGACTTGCTTTGCTATTAGTGTTATAATTTCGACTCCCATCGAGAAGTTGAAAACAATGTGATGTGGAAAAGTTTAAGGCTGATTGAGATGGCTCATAAAATTTTGGATTTGCAATGAGATTTTCAATAACGTTGTATGATATGTTTGTGTAATATTTCGATTACAATATATAATATATCGTTAGAATAAATTGATTGTTGATAAAATAATATATTGAGATCAACGTTAATATTAAAAAATTAAATTAAAACTTTCATCTAATACAATTAGATGATTCGAAAACATATAAAACTGAACATGACAACATGTTTATATTGAATCCCTTTCTTGCCTTCAAAGAAAGCTCTCACAAATTCAACCAAAAAAGAGAAGTAAAAAAAACTCACTCACTTCTTTTGGTACCAAAATGTAATGGTCACTAATCACTATACTTCGATATTTATGACAGATGGATCAATAAACTTTAAAACGTGACGAAAAAAGTCATCACAGTTTTCGTTAATTTGTTCAATCATAAATTAAATTTAGTTGGACCGCCTCAGGTCGACGAACATGCCATGTTGACACATCAGTATCACTCCATTAACCATTACTCAACTCTAACCGTTATAATATCAATAATACATCAAGAGACAGTTATTACGTTTTAAAGTTTAGGGACAATTTTAGACCCAATAGAAAGTAAGTATACACAATAACTATTGTACATTGTAATTTTGTGTATAAACATTAAACAGGCCATGTTGGCAACTTTCTTTTGTGGGTATCCAGATTGTGTTCTCGCGGTTGACAACATATATAATGATTTTGGTCACATGTGGGATTAAGACCAGCAGTCTATTTTGGTGCTGTCATCACCGTATATATACTGTTTACGAACAAGGAAGCATTGAGCTTGTAATTTTGTTGGATTTTGTCGTTGGTATAGTTTCGTTTGTACTCTATATTGTATAATACACACATTATGAGCTAGAGGTGATAAAAAAAGTCAACTCTAACGAATCGAAGATACTGTCTACAAACTGAGCTTGTTTAAAAAATACTTTCCCAATATGGTTCCCAAAAATTGACCCATCATCCATTTCATTATCAGCCGATCATGATATATATATATACACACACGGTAATTAAAAGTTGTTCCGGGTGTTCTAGCTGTTGTATGTATTCCATTCCGCTAAAGTTCGACTAATCAGATTCACCAATTATATTGTTTTTCGTTAAATTGATTTTGAGGTTTGGATTTAAAAAATCAGGATTTGGGATTTACATTAGAAGTAAGGGTAGAAAACAGTCTAGTTCGATCAAACATGACATGATTGACCTGGTTAACAGGGTCGAAATCGCAACACAACCATAATCGGAGACGAGGTTGGATTGTAACCGGTTTTGACCAAGACCAAATTGGAAGCAACACAATTTGGTCCAGTTTTAACCTAGAAACTGTATTGACAGCAAAACCACTAAATGACATGACTAGCAGATTGACGACTCAGATCGAAGAGTTAGAGTTGGCAGGCGACACTAGTCGACGGGAGAAATGACATGAGCAAGACCGTTTGATGGTGGTGACAGGACTGAAAGAATGGAAGGAAGGGAGATCGATGATGATGCTGGTTCATGGGAGGCAGATGGCAAGAGATGGGACCAGAGTCAGGGCCGTCCAATGATATTCGGAGGTCCTATTCGAATATTTAAAATGTGGTTGATAGACCGTTAATTGCACATGTTTTTACCCATATTCTTGAGCCATTTGAGATGTTGATTCTCGTGTTTTAAGCCGATTTCACGCTAGGTTGTGTGTTTATGTCATATTTTAGGGCTTGGCGTTGGCATTGAGGCGAAGAAACGAGTTTCGGATCGAAAGGAGGACGTTTGAGTTAAAGTGTGCTGGAGGAGCAAAATACCCGACCATGGGCAAAAATACCCGGCCGGGTATTAATCTGAGCAGACCGGGGAAAACCTCTTTTGGTCGTTTGAGAAGCAGAAGGGGGCCCGAGCATTAAGGAAAAATCCCCTGTCCGTGACGGTGCGTTTCAAGAATCCCCGGTCTCCGCCTAAAATACCCGACTGGGTATTCAGACCGGGGATCGCTATTGACAGCTTCTTAAGGGAAAAGAAGGGCAAAAGTGAAGGACCCCGAGTTTTAGAGAGAAAAAGCGTATACCTAGAGAGAGAAAGTGACGAACCTGATTCTTCAAGTGCCTTAGATCGATCTCCATCACCATTGGAGCCCGGCTTGAGCTTGGAGGAGAGCTGATTGAGTGCCATAAGCAGAATCTCATCCTTCACAATATGGTTTCCGCATCTGAGCTAGATTTCCCATCTCTCTCTATGGAGTAACTTTCTTATTCACCTGGGTATGAAGAACCCTAGATTTGTATGTTAGGTCTGATTGTACGAACCCAAGTACAAATTCAGTGATATGATTATATTCAATTGAGGTCTGATTTGTTGAATGGCATGAATCCTGATCAAATTCCTGTTGTTTCTGCTTTAACCTAGAAAGAGAATATATGCCTAGGTTGATAGAGCACCCTTGATTGAAGGTAGTGAATTGACGACTTTAGTCGAGGAGTCAATTCACTATTATGTACCGGATTTACTTCGGTAGTGGAGGTTTGGTTCGTTAGGGCCTCAATCTGTTTACTCCGGTGGAGGTTAGTCGCCCGCTGGGGACTCAGATTGAGAGGGTCTGGAGGAACCATATCCGGTGACCTCTCTCAACTTGAAAACAACCTTGAAATGCTTTGCTTATTTGCTTGTTTGGACCTTCACTACACTTTCACTGCTAAATAATAAGAACTCACGGAGTAGTCATCACACTTAGGACCCGGATTGACATTAAAACCCAAACCAGCTATACTACGCTTTAGGAGGTGGTTACACTTGGCCATTTCTAGAGTGATGGTAGGAGCGAGTCAAGTTTTTTGGCGCCATTGCCCGGGACGGCTAGGTTGTTGAAGAAACGTGGTTTCTGTTAATTTAGCTTTGCTTTTTAGCATTCTTTGTTTGCTTTGTCCCACTTGTGCCTTCACGGGTTTGCTGCTTGACTGTGTGCAGGTAGTGCATGACCCGTAGCCAGTCGGGAGGTTTACTGCGAGCTAGACTAGAGCTTGAACACACCTGTCGCCAACTTAGGAGACAACAGCGAGCTAGACTGGCTACGGAGGAGCGCATAGACGGACACTTGAGCAGCGATTCCGAGGACGAGTACGAGATGAAAGGTGAACATAACCCGCCCCAGAGGATACCTCTCCAGGT